GTTTACCCAACCAAAAAGACTGTCACACCTGAACAGGGAGGGTCCTTTTGTGCTGGGCTGACACTGCTGACCAGAAACTGTGCGGACCACACTGTTAGGGAAGAGCTGAAGGTAGATGTTGCTGGCTTCTTTAGGCAGGCAAAAGCAAGCTGTCAGACATCGGACTCACCAAACCTGGAAGAGGAATTACAGCAGCAGCCAAGAGGAGCTTCTTTTCAGAAGACTTGAGCTCATATATTATGTACTATGTTTTTTCAATACAGTTGAATCCTGAGTAGCCCGTGTAAGGAATTTCTGTTTGGAGATCACATACAATATAGGTCATGTTTGTTGAGCAGTGGGTGAGCAAAGCCAGTGGTTTAAGTAAACTCACTAAGATAAAAGAGTCATCCGTTAGAGGAATTCAGTCTTATAATGGAGAAGAGCTAAGACAGCTTTTTAGAATGAGATCAAGTTGGGAATGCGTTTGTTCCTCTCTTGTTGAATTCAGTGGTATACTTTTACAGGGTTTGGACTTGCATGCAGGCTCTTAGTAGTATCACTGATCCCTCTTCTCACTGTCCCAAAGCAGTTTTTATGAGTTGTTCACTCCATAGACACAAACTGAACACTGGCCATCTGTCCATAAGCAGTCCATATACATCACATATGAATAGTTTGTTAAAATCTAGTAAACGATCAAAAAGTTGAGCCATCTGCAATGTTACTATTATCAATAACAGACTGATTCACAATATTGTTATTAATTGTAATGAGCTAAAGGGTTTTCAGAATCTCATCTTTGCTGCTCTGGCTGAGGATGGTGGTGTTGTGTGTGATACTGAAATAGAATGGTCAGGATGGAATGGTTCAGATAAGACATTTTTATAAGATTAATTGATAGATTTTCTTATCTGAACAACTAGTCTTACGACTTCCAGGACTCAGGAATATTGCCATATCTCAGACCAAGGATAAGAAGCAGTTGCTGTTGTTCAAGACATTGCTCTCATGTTCCCTACCTGCTCATGCTTCTTGCTGGATTTGCTCACAGCTTTCCCATTTGCACAGTGTGCTGAAATACTCTGATAGCCTCCAGCTGATGGGATGGTGACCGACAGTTTGCAATGGCAACACCCTCAGTCCCTCTAGATAAATATAAGTGTCTGCTTCCAGACTTAGAAGAAGTACGGACTAGTGAAAAGAGCATTGTGCCAGGAGTGGAACCATGGTTTCTTCCTGGCCCTGATCCTGGTGTTATGTGATCCAGGGTCAAGTCACTCCTCATCTCTACGCGTTCCTCCTTCATTCATCTTTTCCGTTTAGATTCCTTGAAAAATGGACTCCCCGTTCTTACATGGACAGCAGCAAAATAATAATATTGTTATCCTGCTAATCTTAACAATTTAAAGTGGCTCTTTTTCTAAATGGCTGCAGAACTGACCTTCAGATCTGAGTATTGTTTAGAGTTTTTGTTTTTTCTTCCCAACCTTTTGCTTTTCCACACCAAAGCTGGCCCCACACTGATGTATTTGATTATGATTTCATTGTCATTGCATTTGCTTTAATTTTGCAGCTCAGTGCACAAAGCACAGGGTCCTGTACAAACAATGTGATGAAGTCAAGCAGGTCAGCTCCTTTCTCTTTTTATCTCGAAAACAATGTGAAACTCCTGTGTTTCTTTTGCGTGGCACCTCCAATTCTAGAGCTGGAGGCTGTGTGGCTCTGCTGCAATCCCACCACCTTCAGGTGGGACTCGCACAGTTTTCCACTGCTGCCAATGGGGGCACAGGAGCTGTGCTGTCTGCTGGATCATTGGGTGGAATTGCACTGTGAAGTGTCCAAAATCAATGCACAAACTGCAGTGTACTGAGCAGGTGTCTATGCCTGCATTAGGCATTGCCTGTGCTCTCAGGTGTACACATAGACTTGTCTTGCTTGATCATGCTTGGCCACTGTCTGTGAGAAAAAGTTTTTTCCTGTTTTCTGCCTCTCCTTTTTGCTTTTGGCAGTGTTGCTTTCTCCACTGGGATGTGGTTTGAGTGAACATGGCCTGTGTCCAGTCTTTTAAAGAAGTGCCAGGTTACTGGTTGTTGATATGAGAAAGGGAAAAGGAGCTGGGTACCTTGTTGTAGTGTGCTACTGTGATGTCAGGCATTGTATCAGCATTCAGAATGAAGAGAAACACCAGGAAACACTCAGCCTTAATAAACACCAGGAAAAATGTGGACCTTGTGATTTTTGTAATTCCCACCTTGTTCCTAATATTCCCTTCCCCTGGCACTCTAAAATGCTCCTTAATCAGATCTAGGTGCCTGGACAGACTGAGGTTGAGACTTGATGCATCAAAGCAATGCAAACCACAGCTTGTCATGTGCAACAATGCCTTATTGGACAGAGAATCTGAATTTTGGGAAGCTCAAGGAATGTTTACACCTTACCATTGGTGTTGGAATTTTATTTATTTTTATTTTTTATTTATAGTTTTTCCTCAGTTTGCTCAATTTCAACACTCACTCTGAACAGATGCTGTTAAGAAATAAGTGCTGGAGCAGGAGCACAGGTTATCTGCTCCCATATGTTGCTAATTGTGGCCAGCTGAGCACAGGCCTGGCAAGCTGCCCAGTTGTGCAGGATATGCCCAGGTTCTTTCTGCACTACTTGGTGGAATGTCTTCCTGAAGAGCATCTTATAATCATAGAAGCATTAAGGTTGAAAAAGACTGCTAGAATCATTTAGTCCAATTGTCATCCTACTAACTCCTTCAAGTGGACTTTTCTGTTACAATGGAAATCAAGCTGTAACAGCAGATAAAACAACACAGCTGAAGGCTAATAAAATAAGAATTTAAATGTTGAAAACCTTTTCAGCAATATTCTTCATCTCTGGCACTATCAGATTCCTTAGTTTTGCTGCCACTGGCAGGAAGGGAAGTTCTGTCACTAACAGTAGTGGGTGTAAATTTGTTAAAGCTGAATCCTTTTGTTACTCCTGCATTGCTTTTTACCAAAAAGTAATTTCCTATGATTCTTCAGGGGTGTATTTCTAAGAGGAAAGGCTGAATGATTAGCTGTCTCTTCTGGATAGGAATACAGCCAGCCATGGTCTGCATGTTTTCCCACATCCTTCTGTGCTCCCTGGCCAGGGGCCAGATGAGAACCTTCTCCAGAGCAAGGTCACCACCAGGGCTCCTTGCATGCATTTGTTCTATTCTTCCCCTTTCAGCCTAGCTGTTAGTCCTTGTGATGAGCAACATGTTTTCTTCTTTGAGGTGCTTTTGGTAGCTGTGGCTGTGGCCAGCTTCAGCCTTTTGCTTGACGGTTGGGAGAGCAAACAAACCATGGATAATGCCAACATGTCAGCTTCTTGTTCAGCTGCAAAACCAGGGCTTGGCCTGCAACTGAAATCTTAACATCATCTTGACACATGCTGCAGACAACCTGCTATAAGATTTGTCTTCCCATAACTGGCAAATGATCCTTTCAAGTGTACTGTCTAACATACAAGGCTATTTGTGTGCTTCCATCTATTCATTTCTACCTGTTGGAGATGAGGAAACTACTAGACTATACTAGACAGAAAACTGTTTTTTTTCATCTTGTGTCTTCCAAGGACTATTTCACTTCTATTAAAAATCCGTACTGGTTCACTTAAGCTCATTGTTCATGACATCAATGAGTTCTGAAAGAAAACTTGAGGCTTTAAAAAACAGAAAGGAACCTGCTATTACAGGTGGTCTGTGGGCATGTTCTGAGATGGCTCACAGGCAAGGTCTCTGATGTTGTCTGAGAGTTTTACCCCTGATCATCACCTTTCCGCCATGCCATGTTTACAACCTGTACTTCCTCAGCACATCCAACCTCTGAGACACATTGGCTGCCCCACTGGTGTTGTACTGCGCCCTTGGAGGTTCTGGACTGACATTGCTTGTCAGAAGAGGTAACCTCATTCCTCTCAGAGCCCGAATAAAGCACAGTTGGGGTTTGTTAGTCATCCAGTGTAGGTGTGTAACTTGAACCGCTGATCTCCTCAGGGTCTTTCTGATGTTACTACATACAGGCAAATGCCAGGAGGGCAGATTGCACTCTAGAGAATCCACACTTCCACTCAGTGCAGAAGAAGCCTAGGAAAGCTATCTGACTAATTCAGCCCATCAAATGACATCTAGTTAAGCCTGACAAACGACATGATTAAATTTGAGTGGTATCAATACTTACCTTATTCTCTGACATGAAAAGATGGCTTGCTAAAGCCAGGATGCTGTGTTACTGGGTAAAACAGTAAAGACGTCTATTGAATCAATGTCAAATATAACTATTTAGATTTATTACTGGACTGGAGTTAAATAGTCACACTTAGTAACCATCAACACTCAGAGTTTGCACAGAATTTGCAACACTTTGCAAATTCAGCCTCTGTGGCTGTCTAGCTGCGTATTCTAACCACAGAATTTGTCCAAAGAGAAACTGATATATTTCTTAGGGGAACTCCTGGCAGTGGGGAGTTCCCATCATGTGATGGTTACTACTCTTAGCTCCCAGACTAGGCTTTGTGTCAGACAAGTCTATTCATGCATTAGCGATAGCTGAATAAGATGTGCGCTCACTTATTTCTCTGCATTTTGCAAACCAGTATTTTAAATTAAGCTGAAATCAGCAGTGATTTACATTAGCAAACAGGCTGTAGGTTGGGAGGAGGCGTGAGTATTTGTGCTATTCAGCTGTCCTTGCTGCTTGGGGGGATCTCTAGCAGAAAGGCATGAAAACGGATGTGCTTCAGCCTTCACTGGAGACAACCCTAAGGATTGGCTCTTACACAGGGGATGCTTTGATGTGGATCTGCACAGCCTGATGTTTGTACTAACTCTGTTTCCCGCATGGTAAGCAAAGGGAATTAGTTCTTCTATATGTAACAGTACTTCTGTGAACAGCTGATGGCTTTGGGACAGATCTCTCTGTAGATGTATTGGACAGCAGGACCAGTGGCACTAAAAGTGTTTTCTCCCCATTTGCCTTTTGTAGGTATGTGCTGTGACAGAACAGTTGTATGTGAAGAAAAGCTGGAGTGGAAGTCACTGGCAGAGGATCTTGCACTTTTCAGCTGCGCCTGAAGAGTTCAGCTGACTGCGGTGAGCAACCTGCAGGAGGGGAAGGATCTTGTCACAGTCAAAATATCTAGTGCTTGGAAAAGCATCGAGCTCAGAGTGCTACTTTGTGGTAACTCATGGATGCATTTGATCCTTGCTGGGGCAAAAATATTTTATTTTATTTATTTTTTTTTTAATCTTTGGATACCTTTCTCATTTCCTGTCTGCATTTGTGATATCCTTTGCTGTTGGTTTTGATGTTGATACCAGTAAGTACTTTGTGCCTTAGTCTATGTCAGGAACACATGGTACAAGTTAAATTTTGGAACTGCATTGAGAGTTAGGGCTTAGGGTAAGGTCCAGAGTTTAGTAATTGGCCTTGAATGGGCTATTAATCTAAATTTAGTAGCAGTGCATGTGTACAAGCTTTAGACTTGGTCATGGCTACCATGCATTGAATTAGAGGATAGCTTTGGGTTATGGCAACATTGGGCTGGATTAATTGCTTCATCTGTAAGACACTGGGCTAGGCTTAAGAGAATATCAAGATTCATAACACGGCTTTGTGTTGATTTGGAGCAGACATAAGCTGTTGGGCTGGGATCAGGGATCAGGACAAATTATTTTGTTGGTGACATAAGATGAGGTCCCCCAGGGGCTACTGGGCTAGATTTGGGGTTATTAGCGACAGGACAGCTACAAATGCCGGTGAAGATGATCTTGCTTTTCTTAGAAGAGATAGTTTGATTACTATTTTCTCGAAGATAATGTGCAGGATTGGTTGAGGCTTGACAGTGCTGAGATACGGTTTTGAATTTTTTATTTGCTCAAGGCTAAAGCAACTCAGTCTTTGAAAGCTCTGTATTGAAGTAGAAGTTCCAGATGCAGTTAAGGCTGAGGCTCACATGTCAAGCATAAGACCATTGGTCTCATTCCACTTAGTTATTTCCCCTTAGTTATTCTGATATCGATCCTGTTTGTGGTCAGAAAGGCAAAGGTCAAAGCAGCAGTTTCAGAAGGCAGAATCTCTTGTATCCAAGAAGTGGCAAATACAATTATTTGAGGCTGTTTTCTTTTTCTTTTTCTTTTTTTTCTTTTCTAAAAAGACTAAGCATCGGAGGGCAGTCTCTTCTGTCTCTGTCCTTCTCTTTTTGTCTACATGGGTGCTGCAGGCATCTCAAATTTCAGCTCTGTATGACATCTCAATTCCTTCCCACATAACGCTGTACTGTCTCTTTCCTTCAGTGATACAGAGCCCCTCCAGTTACAGGGGAGGAAAGGAGTTTGCATAAGCCTCTACTGAACATGCAGAGGCTGTTGTCAGCCTGACTGTGCTATTTCTTTTAAGACCTAGTGCTCTCTGAGGGATGAAAGCCTGTGCTATTGAAAAGAAAGCTAGAGAACCTTTTAGAATGTATCAAACTGAGTTTTCTGTAATTTTCCTCCTACTGCCTCAAAGCAAAATTGCAGCACCCTGCTGTTGAACTGACACAATTACTTGCAACAAGAATGTATGTTTTTCTTGTAGAGCTGAGCCATTTTACACAAAATCTGAATTTGATCCTGTCCTTTGGCTGCCAAAGGGCTGTCTCCCCTTTATGTTTTTGCTTTAAGAGAAGGGAACTCCATACTGAGTTTTCCTCCAGGTGGAAATATGCACTATGCTGTCAGGCATTTGTCTGGAAAATAGCATCTCTAAGAAGCCTGGATTGTCACAGATATCCCGGGGAGCCACAGAGCTTCCCTCTGTGCTCAGTCCTATGGCCATTAAGTGATATTTAAGGCATAGCACACCTGTGCTTCAATGAGCACAACAGCATTCAGTACTTATACTTGGTTAGTCCACATAGAGATTTGGAGGAGGATGGTTTACTCTAACCTCAGTTCCTGCTTACATGGAGCTTTTAATAGCTTTTTTTCTTATCCTTTTACATGAGAGAAAATACTTGCTTTTTTGTAGTCTGAGTCTTCCTTTTGCCAGAAGCTTATGGGAATGAAGAGAAGTACTTGTACACCATGCTATGTTGCGTTTGTTTTTTAGGATCTAATTAGGACACCATGTTGTTTTTTAACTGCTATGTACTATGCAGATCAACTGTTCAATTGAGACCTTTAGCTTAGACATCTGGCTGAGACACAATTGCAGCCCTGATGAGTTGGACCAAAGGCAGAAGAGGAAAAAGTACATATATAAATGATGTGAATAGTTTATAAGGGTGTTGGATGCTACTGGGTGAGAGATCTCTACCTCAACACAGCTGTATGAAAATATTTATCTAGCCAGGCCAACAGGAAGCAAAGCAAGTCTAAGGGAACAGTGAGGAAATCCTGACTATATCTTTTGCTTTCTTATTGGAGGACCTAGGTATGGAAAATGCTACTGAGTCCAAGGCTGTCTAGCTGATCCATTCGTTTCTCTCTAAAAGGAGAGAAATTACCCGTACTGCGTGCTGAGAAGTGCTGTAGAGATTACTAAAGATTCCTGTGCTCACTAGCGGCTGTGTTTCCCAGGGCTTGTGGGTCAGTAGTTGCTGTCCTCCCAGTTCTCTAATTCACTGCTTCAAGTGAAAGGTGAAGGTTACCCAGATGGGCTGCTGTAAGGTGCATCTAGTCCTTTCACTCCTTTGCCTGGAGACAGAGCAGGGTGACTCCTAGAGGAAGGTGTTGCACAAAACATTGTTTTGGCTCCAGCTGGTCACACCACCTGCCCATTGTGGACTATAAAATAGGTTGAAACAGTGTAGTACTGCACATAAACCAGAACAGTGAGAATGAGTTTGTAGAAAGCAGGAAAACAGTTTTATTTTTTTCTGTTGAACTTTTGGAAGCAGATGGAGAGTTGATGAGGCAGAGATGCTGGAAGGGACAGTGTGTTTCAAATTTTTTCCTTAATTTCTTCCCAATCTGTTCGTAGATTCATAGCTCTTGCTTATTTGCTACAGGGGAGTTAGTGTAAGACACGAAAACTTCAGTGCCCCCAGGTCTCCAGAGGTAGGTGCTCACTAGAGGCTGTTGGGTTGTTGTTTTTCACCAAAGAGACTTCTGACATACAGGATTGTGGGAGCAGCTCATGGCCTGATGGGCAAGATCTTTTCTTACTTCATTTCAAGTTATTACAGTGAAGGGTTTAAACTTCCTGGAGAACGATGACAACTCTAGAGTGTTTTGATAGAATCCTGTACTGACACTAACAGGCCAGTCCTGCCTCACTAAATAACCAATGTTTTTTTTTTTGTTGTTGTTGTTGTTTTTTTTTTTTAAATTTATTCAGAAGCCAAGGGGAATCAGAGCCGAGCAGTGCACCTTCCAGCAGTCATTATCATTCCTTAGTCATTCAGTTACTGTTTCTCTCTCTGACAAGAGATATTGGTGTGGTGGAGAGGATGTGAGGAAAGTTTGGCTTTTCTTCTAGTCTTCTTGGAGATGTTTAAGTAAATTTCCTTGCATTGAACATATATTCGGGTGTTGCCCATAGAGGACATATGTAACTTCAGTGATGCCTTCAAATCATTGTGGAAGCCAGAGCTGGTGGGAGAGGAATGGGTGAGATGGGATTGTTAAACCTTTCTTCACTCCCAAATGCAATGACTTGCTGTGAGATCTGATTACCTTTTCATTAGCTTTCGTAGTTACAAATGTATCTGGTTGATAATCCCAGACAGCTGGCTGAGTTAGTCAAATCCACATTTCTCCTCTGCCTGATGTTTCGAGTCTGGATATTTATTAATTGCATATACAGTAAGTGCTGCAAGCAGGACTGCTGGGACTTTATTTCTGTGAATGCACAAACTTCTCTGCTGGAAAACACGTTACCTCTTGGCTTATAGTTTGTTCCTGGAGGACAGAGGACCAGAGAGCAGTCTGATTTTATATTAGATCCTTCTAGTATTTAAAAGGGAGATACAGGAAAGAGGGGAACAGATTCTTTAGGAGGATCTGTGGTGATAGAATAAGGGGAAATGGTTTCAGGCTTAAAGGGGGTAGATTTAGGTTGGATGTAAGGAAAAAGTCTTTCATAGTGAGAGTGGTGATACACTGGAACAGGTTGCTCAGAGATGTGGTGGAAGCTTCGTACCTGTAGTCATTGAAGACCAGGCTGGACCACACTGTGAGTAACCTGATCAAGCTGCAGGAGTCCCTCTTCACTGCAGGGGATTTGGGCTAGATGGCCATTAAAGGTCCCTTCTAACTCTAAGGATTCTGTGATTCTATATTGGCTTGTCTTTAGCAAGGGTGCAGAGAGGTGCATTGCAGAAAAATACTGAGATGAATAGACAGCACAGTCCGAATTTTCTTTGTGGCTGCTTCTCCTAATTCCCTTCTTTACTGCTCTCTTATCTTATCTCTTATCTCTTCTTAAGCCACTGTTATTGGAATAGCTAGTAAGCTCAACTGCTTGCCCAGAGACTGACAAATATTTAGTATTTTGAGCGTTTAAAAAAAGTGAGTGAATTTTACCAAAAACCAGCTTATTTGCATGATTTTCTCCTGATTGTACCTTAAGGTTAATTCAAGCCTCTACAGCACAAAAGTTGGTAACTGTTGATAATAGTTGGTAAAACGCTGGTAGACAGCTAATGCCATTACAAAGCTTTTAATATTGATTAGGTTGTATTCAGTTACTTTCACTGCCAGGAGTGCCTTTCACTGAATTACAGACTGATTGGATCACTAAGGATCAGATACTGGTAAGCTAAGCTTGTTTTAAGAATTGTCATCTGTTGTTTTCTGTATTAGTGGAGCAGATCGTGCAGTTGCTAGACAGTGTGCACTAGGAGATTGATGAATCTAATCCAGGAATCACACTGTGCAGGTTTTACTTCTGTTGTACCTGAGTATAAGTGGCAATGCTGGGTGCAAAGGGGTAGAGTTGCTGGTGTGCAGGTGAGGATGTATGTTTCCTTGACTGCATGGTGTAACTACAATTAGTTTCGTTAGGACTTGGATAAGCATGACAGTCCTAAGTTTTTCCTCCTGCAGTATTATTTAGCAGGCCCTTGATTTTACAAAATTTCCTGGACCATAGACAGCAACTGTTCAAG